AGAAAAACAAATATATATTTACCACTAATGTAAATTATATCTTATGGGACACAGAAATAAGAGAAAAGGAAGGGGTTGCAGGCTTATTACAGGCAGATAGAGGGATCAAAGGGGAGAGAGAAAGGCAAGGAGTATAAATGAAATGACAGAGAGTACTAGAATTCAGTTGGAGTTGGCAGAAGTCATCCTGTAAGAAAATCTGGGCAGAGACAGAGAAAGTTAAGAAAGCGATGGATGGTAAACTCAGCTGTCTCTGACCTGTTTATTAGTTTTATTTGGAATAAATTTACTTGCTATGACCAAGCAATTTCCATGCCTTTGTGCCAGCCAAGCTCAGGGAGGAAATGAAACCTTCTGTTTCACCCTGTACCTATCACTAAAGATGTTCATGGCCGTGCAGCTGGCACCACTGCAGTTGACGTCAGAGGCAGACTCAGAACACGTGTGCTTAAAGTCATCAGGTCTTAAGGACAATTCTAAAATCTCTTATAACATGAATCATTTACTTCTGTTTCTAATAGTTTGGTAGAAGAGATTCTTTGAAAAAGTGCATCTGTCTACCTATCTATCCATCCATCCATCCATCCATCCACCTATCTACATACATACATATATCTATGTGCACATATGCATGTATGTGCCTCCAGGTATCAATCCACCCATCCATCTGTCCATCCATCCATCCGTCTACATACATGCACATACCTATGTGCATGTATGTGTCTCCAGATATCAATCTACCCATCCATTCATTCATCCATCCATCCATCCATCCATCCATCTACATACATACACATACCTATGTGCATGGATGTGTCTCCAGATATCAATCCACCCATCCATTCATCCATCCATCCATCTATCCATCCATCCATCTATCAACATACATATATATACCTGTGTGCGCATGTGCATGTATGTGTCTCCATATACCAATCCATCCATCCATTATCTACATACATACACATACCTGTGTGCACATGTGAGTGTGTGTGTGCGTCTCAAAATACAGTGAAAATATAATAAGAAAGCAAAGATTCTTAGGAGGCCAAAAATGAAGTGAAAGAGGGAAATCAGAGACTACACAAGCACTCAAGTCATACTAACCATGGGTGCAAGTGCTTTGGCTGGTGAAATTGGGCTTTGAAACTGATTGTCTCACAGGAGACAAAGCCCAGAACTCTCCTAGAGTGGGAAATCTAATAGAAAACCCTGTTTTACGCTAGAAACCCCAAAATCGACAGTGTCCTCTCAATACATGAGCAAAGTAGGAAAAAATCACATCCACAGGAGATAGCAAGGAAATCTGCCATCTCGACATTTGTTCTGGGTGAAAGGAGGGAAGAAATCTTCTCCTTGTGTCATCACCACAAGAGTGCTCTCATCCTGTCTGCGTTCTGAAACAATCTACCTGTGTGGTTCAAGCAGCCTTAAGCCAAAAACGCCTTTGAAAGTGGTCTGCATTTATAGTGTCTGTGGGTGCCTAACAGAACAAACACCAATTTGCTCTAGAGAAACTCGTCTTTAATCCACTCAAATATGGTTCCAAGGAAAAAGAGCCCAAAGTGAAAAATTAGAAAACATACCATTTCCATTTATAGGAAAATACCTCTTTGTGGGATATTTTTACAATATAATCTCACTACATTGAAAAATGAGGGAAAACGAAGGAACTACGTGTCAAAATATCAACAGGGATCAATCACAGATACTCAATGTTAACTGAACAAAGTACATTGCAAAGGAATCTATATGACATCATTTCGATTATATAAAACTCAAGATATTTATAAGGAAGACGTATGTTTAAAACTCAAAGGAACCAGTACCATTCTATTTTTAACCTGAGTGGTGGTACACTGACATTTGTTTTATTGTTACAAATCTTAAACATACATTATGAATATACCTTTAAATGTTTAAATGTAATCAATATTTAATACAAACGTCTTCAAATGAGTTAGTAAATATTAACCTATTGGGAATAAATTTAATTTGTAGTTTCAGAAATGCATGATTCAACCTTAAAGGTTTAATAAAGTTTCTGTATTACTTTAGCACATTTATTTAATGTACCATGTGATGGTTCTTGTAGTAAACTCCTTATCTGCATTTTTCTAATTAATCCTCATAAAACTCGTACGAAAAAGGTCTGATTTTCTGATTATAGATGATAAAATTGAGCTTTCAATGGATAAGTATCTCAAACGCCGTAAGGGGAATTTAAACACATGGGCCTATCCGAAAACTTTGTTCCCTAAGTCATTAAGTCACACTAACCCCATTATAAGTATTAAGACACTTATTTGGTGAATTCCACTTCTAACCATGATGGAGCAGCTAGTGAACAAACAATGCTCCTGCTGAGAACTAGAAAATAAGAGATAACATTAGAAACAATGAACATCTATTTAAAGATGTAACTGTAGAGGCAGCCAAGCCTTTAGTGGCCAAGGGAAAAGAAACTCAGAAAAGCAAGCTGACATTTTGAGGGCTACTTTTTCCCTTGGGTAATATGCCAGTCCTTGGATGGGTAAGAGACTGAGGATTCAGGCAAAGAAAAATAAAGAGGTTAAAAGAAAAAAAGTGAGACTTGTGGCATTCTATCAGCAGAGGAAACAAAGTGTTGAAGCTTGGGGCTGCAGAATCAGTCAGGTTTTGAAGGGCTCAGAACCTGGAGAGAAGGTAAGACAAGAGAAGCAGGTCTGACACTTAGAGTTTTCTCTTGAGGCACTGGCTAAATTTTAAAACTGTCCAGGGCAAGACGTAAAGTAGCCAAGCAAAAATTGGAAAAGTACAAGGATGTTTTCAGCAGTATCATAGTGATGAGATACCAAAATTGGAATTCAGGACCCACCGAGGAAGGGTTGCATAAACCCATAGGCTCTCAAATGGAGCTCCTCAACGACAACTTCCTAGAAATGTGGATGAACCAGAACAGACTGACCATACAAAGATTTCAGGGAGGTCTCTAGCCATGTCACATTCTGACAGAATTGATCTGTCCCCATCTTAGCTAACTACCAGAGGATACAGTAAATCTTTCTGGAAGAAAACAGCACAATTCTGATTTATAATTTTTCATACACAATGTGAGGCATGTAATCAAAATTTTTCCACTATACTTAAAATAAGAATAAGGAAAAAAAACTAGAAAAAAGACAATAAAAATAAAACCACAGATGAGACAGATATTGAAACAGGTATAGTAAAATACTGTGACTACTATGTTTAGGAAAACAGAAGACAAGAAGAAGAATGTTATAAGAGAAATGGAATTTATTACAAAAACCAACAAACAGAACTTTGTGAACTGCAAAATTTAATAAGTGAAAATAGATCTCAACAGATTGGATTGATAGCATTAGATAGGGCAAAAGAGAGGATTAGTAAACTGGAAGATAGGTCAGTAAACATCCAGAGGAAACTACAGAAAGAGCATAACAGACACAGACAATACAGAAAAGTGACAGAGAGACATAAAAGAGGCAGTCATGAGGTCTAACATACATTCAGTTGGAGGATAGAGACTACAGGGCAGAAGAAATATTTGAAGAAATAATGGTCTAGAACTCGCCAAAATAATAAAATCATCAAGCTATCAACTGAAGACTTGCTATGAACTCCGAGCAGATTAAATACAAAAGAAGCTACACCTAAAAGTGGAATAGACCTATCGAAATCCAAAGACAGAAAACCTTAAAAACCAACAATGAAAATCATTTCTTGCTCAAAGGAGTAATAATAAGATTGACAGTGAAAACAATGAAAATCGGAAGATGATAGAAAAAGATTATAAAATACGGAAAGCAAATAAATGCCAACCTAGAATGTTATACCCAGAAAGAAGTTAGAAAATGAAATGCGAAAACAAATACCCTTCACAACAGCTTCAAAAATGTCAGATACCTAGGTACCAATAAGGATGTGCAAGGCTTCGACACACAAAGAGAAACTTAACAAGTTTTTCTATAATTGAGTGAAATTTTAAAAGGCCTAAATAGAAGGCTCAACATCGCTAATACGTCCCTTTTCTCCAAATCAATCTTTAGACTCTATGCAATACCAACCTATATAGCCCAGGCAATACTAAAGAAGAACAAACTGGAAGTATCTGTGGCACGCACCAAGTCTTTCCATGAAACTACAGGATTTAGGACAGTGTTACACTGATGTAAGGTAAATTAAAAAAATAATAAAACAGATAGTCCAGAAAGGAACTGTATGTATAGAAATATCATTGATGGCCAGCATAACACTGCAGAGCAAGAGGAAAAGATGGTGAGACAATTAGGTATCCAAATGGAAAAAATTAATCCTGATTCAGACCCACATCCCTATAGAAACCTCAATTCCAGGTTGATTATAAACCTAAATGGAAAAGGTAAAACAATAAGGCCTCTAAAAGACTGTCTTCATGACAGTGGGCAGACAAAGAACTCTTAAACAAGGTAGAAAAAGAATTAACCATAAAGGGAAAAGAAGGAAAATCATTCTACATTAAAATTTTAAAACTCTGGCCATTAAAAAAGGAAAAACACAAGGCCAATAGGAGGTGGAAGAAGATATTTGCAATGTATGTATCTTACCACAGTCTGGTATCCAAATCATGTAAAGAAACACTAAAAATGAATTTTAAAAAAAAGCCAAAAGAAAAATGAGCAAAATATTTGAACAGGCATTTTACAAAAGAAAATTTCCAAATGGGTAAAACTTATCAAAAGATGTCCAACCTCATTAGTCACCATGGAAAGGCAAAATAAACCACAATGAAATACCATTACATAACCACCAGAACAGCTGAAATGGAAAAGGCTAACAATACCAAGTGTTTGACCAGGATATGAACGAAAAATGGGTTGGGATATCTATTCTCTTCATTCTCCCCCTGCTTCCCCATAGATACGAAAGTACGGGCATTCCACAGTTCTAGACGCTCTTGGGCAGCCCCTCTGCCATGTGCCCAGCAATTCCCAGGACTGATAGCACCATGCCCTCACCTTGCCCCTGCAGGACCAGGGTGGTCAGGACTTCCCACTGTTGCTGGTCCCTGAGTTCAGCATGAACACCCACATCTCTGTAAAACAGACCAGTTGTTACATTCTTTTTGATTAAACATTTCCAGAATCCTAAGTGCTATTCCTTTGTAGAGATTTGGGTTTTTACTCTGTGTGAAATATAGAGTTATTCTGGAGCCTTAAACAGGAGAGGGCTGTAACGTGACTTACATTCTCAAAGAATTATTCCTTCTGCTCTGTTGAGAATACTCTATGAGAGGGTTAAGGGTAGGACCACAGAGGCCAGTGATCAGATCACTGCTGTGATCCAGGTGAGAGGTAATGGTGGCCCAGATCAGTCAGGTGACAGTGGATGTGGTAAAAAGTGGTAAGACTGTGGATATACTTTGAAGGCTCAGCCAGGAGGACTGGATTCCCAGATGAATCTGGATATGGGGAAAGAACTAAGTCAAAGATGACTCCATGCATTTTGCCTTGACCAACTTAAATAATTCATTGCCACTGAATGAGTTAGAGAAGGCTGTGGATTCAGCAAATTTGACCAGGGGTGGAGGAGATCAGAAGCTCAGTTTGTGAATACGTTAAATTTGAAATGTCTATTAGCTTTCTGAGTGCAGATGTCAAATAGCGAGTTGGAAAGAGAGTTAGTTATACTAAAGTTCAGAAGAGAGATCTGGAGTAAAGACATAAATAGGGGGATATTTAGGACCATGGGATGGGGTTACATCACCAAGAGAGTGAGAGGATATCAGAAAGAATAGATGATGCTGGGTGGAGCCCTGGGCACTTCAATATAAAAACCCAGAGAGAAGAATAGCCAGCAGCAGAGAAGAAGAAAGAGCACCCGGTGAGGCAGAGAAAACCAGTGCAGGCAGGAGATCAAGGAAAAGGAATGAGCAACCGCTGTGAATGCTGCTGAAGTCAAGTAATAGGATGCAATATACACATTTTTTAATTTTCTGTATATTATGATGTTTTGACATCTTAAAATTAAAACACTTTTCTGGCTGGGTAGAGAAAGCCCCTCTAAGGCTGGCCAACTCTTAGAGATAACAAGGAGCTCAGTTGGGAGCCTGTGATATGCAGACAAACCAATCCAGAGCCAGACCTCCCTATCTGACCCTTGCACCCCAGGAGGCAAGACTCCTCTGCCTTAATCAGCCCAAGGCCAGGTGCCAGGCAACTAGGTGCCCCTCTAACTTAGAGCCCGCCGAAATTATTCACACTAACCAGTCCCAAACTGTGAACGCTGCCCTGCCTTGCCTCTCCCTAGCCTCTCCCTAGGAAACCCCAATAAAGGCTCTAGTCTTATCTTTCCTCTTGCTCACTCCTGCTTTCTGCCTCCTCACCAAAACCTTCCCCTGTGACCCTGCCTGGCACATGGTGACCCCTTCCTGTGAGTATAATAGACTTTGTTTTCTTGTGCCCCTCTTGTGACTCCTCTTGTGGCCACACCTGACTGCCCATCACATAAAAGAACAGGGGACAAGGAGTTCTGACAACTGTACACTGGCTTCAGCAACACGGAGGCCACTGCTATCCTGAAAAGAGCAATATGTTATTTATATTTAATTATTTAGCCAGCAGATATTACATGAATAAAATGGATATTGAGATGAACTTTATTCCATCTGTGAGTCTTTGGTCAGAAAACCTCAATCAAGGACTCTGAAGGCAAGAGTGAAAATCACACTGACGGAGTTACTGATTTTGACAGGCCCTGGAGAGGGAACTGATGCTTTATTGGTAGCTAACATGACATCATGCTTTAAATTAGTTCTCTTACAATGCCGTAACGATATACTATTTCCCCCAAGTTACAAAGGAGAAACTGACTCAGAAGCGTTAAGATCATCCAGCTCCTAAGGTGCAGTGTTAAATTAAAACCAGTTCTGACCTCAAAATCCACGCTGTTTCAACTACCCTCTGCTCTCTAACAATGAAATAAAATAGAAGGATTAAAGAAGGCACACGCAAACCATCTGGGAATTAAATCTGGGTCCCTGTACCCCCTGAAAATATGATTTCCTGGTAACCCATGCTGAAAAACATCAGTAAAACGCGTTCCTACGAGGCTTAAGAAGAAATGTCTATCAGAAGTTTTCAGGCAAGTTACAAAATATGTGATAGCTGAATCTGACCTTGAAAACAGTAGTTCTGAGAAACAAAATTCAATTAGGTTAAATTTTCAAACTTCCAATGGTAGCTGGAACTTATTCCTCTTTCCCTATTGAACTGAAAATATTTAGAGAAGTTAAATGAACAAAAACCAGGTTAACTTATCTCCTCAGCTATCTAAGGACTTCACTCAGTATTACTGCTTAAGATTCATAGGTCACTTTTTTTTAAAAAAACAACTTTATATTAGTAAAAATCTTTTCTAAATATATTAGCAAGTATATCCGGCTGCCCACAGAGTCTCTTTTCAGACTTGACAAGTCATTTCCAATGCAAAAGGGTAAATATTACCAATATTACCTAATATTACTAATATTGCTATGGTGGAAAGAGTTTAAGATATTAGTCACTAGAATGATTTTCTGAATATATTTAGCAGGTTTATTTGGCTACATATGAAGTCTCTTTGCAAACCTGACATGTTATTTCCAGTGACCTGAATATGGTATTTCCCTAAGAAAGCAGAATGGAATAAAGTCTCGATGTAGACTTTCCAAACAGAGAATAAAAATAGTATCTAATATATTTTGAACTTTGAAATTATCGGTTTCTATTAGAGTGTGCTCTGGACCATGGTCCCTAAAAAAATAACTGCGCTCCTATTTTAGCAATAGTCTCTTGAGTTGGGTTAAAGCATTTAGGATCCAGAGTTCGATAAGAGCTATGAGAAGTCTACTGCAGCTGGTGCACACCAAGGCCTGTTATATAACCTGGTTTGTCCATATCATGAGCATCTCTCCACTGCCCGGCTACCAGCCACAGAGTAGCCAGTTCTGACTTGACTTCTGAGGTACCCGCAGGAATATCCATTCCTTCTCTCCCTCTGCCCTAATACCCTCATTTTCCATTCAAACGAAAAGTGCAAATAACCAATAAACCTGCAAAATTGACTTCTCTCAAGAAAATTTACTCAAAAAAAAAAAAAAGAATCAATGCTTGAAATCAAATAATTAAATTCTAATATGGACTACTTTAAACCATCAGCATATGTAATAGTTGCTCATAAGGCACATTAAAAAGAATAATTTAAAACATTAAGGACAAATAATCCAGTGGCAGGGGAACAAACTTAAAATATATAAATGGGTCAAATCTTACTGTGTATTGGATGATGATCTATGGTCTTAAACAAGGTAAATACTCAAAGTTCAAACACTCTTCTAACAGCTGTTTTCTTCCCTCTTTGAAATGTCTTTTCATGTCAAATTCCCATTAAGCTTGATATACAGTCTGCTTACTGGAAAAACAATGTTTAACACACATATGATTAAAAATTTGAATAATAAAATCAATAGGATGAAATATTAAGGATAATGAGGAAATAGAGAAATACGCCAAAGGTTTCCATTAGCATCACAAATGCACTAAATATATTTTTACAAGCGTATGTTGCCCCTTTTTCTTTCGTAGTGAGGAAATGTCTAAGACACATGAAGAGGGACAGGCAGAGGCACTACAGAACACACGTGAAGATTCTTCCATCTGGTAGTAACGCCGTGGACACTCCACCTGGGAGAAGTAACTGGTTTTTTCTCTGTGAGGACAACACCAGGTGTTTTATGGGTAATGTGAAGAAATTTTAATCATCCACCTCCCTCTTATGCTTAGTGTTTGTCATTATCACACCGACTGTGATCTGTAAATCAACACAGAAAGTCAGGTACTTGCTGTTATCAGAGCAGCCTGTGATCTGCCAATAGCTGTTCCCATCTTTCATATAGACACTTGTGTGAGGACAAGGAAGAATGGAAATCTCCATCAATACCAATTTGGTCTCACAAAAGGCACAGCTCAATGGAGAGGAAAGAATGAGCATGTTGGCTAAAGAAAGTCGTATTACAGGTTACGCATTAAAAGTGGAGACAAATCCATCAGAAAAAAGTCAAGTGAAATTTGACAATTTTCTGTTTCTAAGTTTACAGAAAACATGGAGCAAAAGGAAAATCAACACCAATATATTAAAGAAAAATTTTAAAAATGTTATATTTACTTAATTTGGTATTATTTAATTTGTCATACTGAAATCTACATTACTTGAATATTTTTCAAGACGACTAGCTTTCCCAAGTTTCTCCCTTCTCTGTTACTGCATTTACTTTTGACACAATAAAATTAGCAAGTTTAAATTCTCATGTTCTATAACTGTTTCATGTTAGAACTATATCTCCAAACTTGATTCCAAATCTTTTGGGCAGTCAAAAGGTCGTATGTAGTAACATTCATATTACTGTACTTAAAAATCAATCCTTCAATAACACTAATCTTCCAGATGAGTATACAAGGAATGCACCAAGCTTGCAAGCATGAGAAAAAAAATGAGAAATTTGGGGGAAAAAAATCTAAAAAATCATGGCGACACGTTACAAACACTGCTACTCAAAATCCATTCTCCTTTTCTTCCTTACAAAGAGAGTTCCAATACTGTTTGAAGTGGCTTGTACTTTATTTCTCAGCTTCTGTTGCAGCTGGAGATGGCCAAAAGACAGTTCTGTCCAATAAGTGTAAGTACAAATCTACAACGGATTTCTGAGAAAGCTGCGGCGTTCCTGTTAAGGCACTAGCCTCCTGCCACATTATTCTGCCTTCCTTGAAATCAGACAGTGCTGGAGAGGAACCAGCCTTGTTGCAACTGTGACAGGAGAAAAGCATGGGAGCCGGGGACCTTGACAGCATAATGGAGCTCCATGTTGCACTGGCCTTAACTGTCCTTTGGGGAGAAAAATAACCGCAGATCTGCTTCAGTCACTGCAGCTAGATTTTTGTTACATACAGCCAAATCCCATTTTTACTGATACTCTCAGAGTAGTTGGTGAGATCGCCAGAGGCTGAAATGAAATTCTTTTATGGTGTGGCCTTAGCTATAAAAAACAAAAACAAAAACACCTCCCTAGCATCAAAAACAGAAGTATAGGAGAAGTCTTAGGGGAAGGAAACAAAAAAGGGAAAAACAGAAGCAAATTTGTAAGAAGTGCAAAGGCACCTGTAAACAGCAGAGGCGGCAAATTATGGTGGCATGAAGGGCAATGGGAAGCAGCAGTGATTCTTGCTTTAATTCCAGCTGAGTGACTGAGATGAGGTTATGTTTAATATACTTTATTCAACACAATAAAATTTGAGTTATTATAGTTAAAAATGTTAATTTTGAGGAGCCCAGAAAATTCACTTATGAAGACAACCTCCTTTATTTAGAATATTGAATAAATGACAAGTGTGTATACTATGTATGTGCAATTTACTTGTTTCTAGCACATTGCTAGGAAAAAAGAAGATAAAAGTAAAATCAGTAATACATAATATACAGTTGATTTATGACATGCCATTACCTACAATTCTTGAATAATCTGTGTTACAGGATTACTTAATATATAATTTAGTGTATGATTTTTTAATAGAATGAAGCTGAATGAATAAACTCTGGTTGATATTCTGAATGATTAAACTCAGCAATAATTGTGAAAATTAACTTTAATGAGTGTTAGGTTTTAAGTATGATAGAAAGTAATACGTGACTAAAAACTTCAGAAGCCAAAATCAAAGGTTCGCTTCTGCTTGTGACCCAGCAACCATATTTAGTTAACGCCAAGCCGTCCACATCTGCAGAGTTTGTAAAACATTTATTTTTATAGAAAAAAAATTATCTTTGCATAAATAAAGCTGCTACAGCATGTAAAACAAAAGACTGTGAAACTTAAAATTTAACAATCAAAGAATCAAGAAATGGAAAAATATGACCAATTCTCGAAATTAAAATGATCTCCCTATATTAACTCCATAAGTAAAAATACACTTTACGCTGCAGATTACGCCTTCAAGGAATACATTAGAACACATGCTTTCTTCAGTGTTGCTTCCTGCACTTGACACGTTGTGATCTGTATTTTCTAGACTGTCAGGTAAGAAGAGCCTATCAATTGGTCCAGCCTCAGACTACAACCAAAATTGATCAAGTTTTAATAACTGAAATGGTCAAAGCGCCTTGAGCACAGAATTGCCTTATACAAACACTGCTGACTCGCAGACAGCCCAGTAACCCACCAGATGGGACATAACGTGACAGGAGTGAATCTAGGACACTTACCCTGGAGTGGAGACTAATAAAACCACGGCTCCAAGAGGAAGCAAGGAACTTTCCGGGAGAAGGCTTGTCAAGTATAAAATCTTTAATTATTCCAGATTACTACCGCATGGTCTGTGGGTTTCAGCTCCAAAATTTTACAGCTGAGAAAACAAAATCTAATTGAAAGAGAACTGTGTTGTGGTTATAAATAAACTATTATTAGAAAAAATAACTTAAACTAAGGTTATATATCTCATTCATTATTTGCTGGTGAATTTTTTTCCCAAAATGTTAACCTGAAACTCTTCATCAGTATAGAAAGGACTGTATACATTTAAAATTTGTGTTACAGAAAACATTTCTTAGGGATGCAAACTCTGTATGTTAGCCAATCACGTTTTTGGAATCACCTCTAAAGATTCCGTTGAGTTTTATAATTGCAGTTAGAATGGTTCATGTGGCATCTGTAAGCACTTGTTGACAGATGAGGAGATAGGCACATATGCCATGTAATTCCAGCTGTTTTAAATTTAAATTAGCATTATTTTCTAATTTCCCATTTTGATGCTATGATGAAAAATTCAGGCTTGTAAAAGTCCAGAATCAAACACCATATTTGACTAGCCAGGTGTTTAATTATTCATTAATCTGAATGAAGATATGAAAATATTTTCTTGTTCGCACATTTTTTCCTTCAGTTCTGACACTTCTCATCCAACACTCTCTCTAAATCCTATGATAATTCTCCCTTCTTTCTAGTTACCACTTTTCAAACACTAACAGTTGGTCAGGGGTCACTCCCAAGCTATTAACACTTTTAACATCAAGAAGGGACAAGGATAGCCTTCCTAATAGACAGAACTTTTATTTGTTTGAAATATGGCTACTTAATAAGGCTTCTGAAAGTATTTACAAAATATAAACATAACATTTTACAAGAATCCATCAGCAGAGCAAAGAATGCTGGATACAAAGATACAAATTATT